ACAACCCTAACAAAACCCACTTATACTCTTTCATTATAAACCCTAACCCTAAATACTAGTCCGGAATCAAAAAAAAGTATACCCCAAAAAATTTTAAAAATTGGAATTTCACGATGATCCGGATTTCACGATCATCCGCGACAATTATTAATAATAAATAAATATACGTTTTAAAAAACAATATAAATAAATCTATCAAACCTTCCTAAAGAATGTTACTATGCTAATTTATTTTGTAAATCAACTCTAACAATATTAGCACCTCTACAATCATAACGGTCCAATCGTGACTCTGTGTTGCGTTGCTTAGAATTATCTAAAACATTTGTTATTTTTTTCTAGCTCTTGACGGCAATTGCACAATGTTGTATTTTTTTGTTTGTTTTAAACTACATCTTCAAGGTTCTATAGATTCTCTTGCACTTCACGAATATCCATATTCTGCTCTTGGAGTTTCCGTTTTTTTTCTTTATTTATACGTGTTAAGCATTCGATACATGTTTTTTTATTATTTTCAAATTCATTAATTTGTTTTATTTACTTTTTTTTGGATTCGATTGGGCAGAATAATCGGCTCCACTAGTTATTAAATTTTTACGAAATATGGTAAAAAAAGAAATTTTTAAACAATCATTGTAACGATACTATATTATAAACAAATATCGTCATAAATGACTAATATAATATTGCATTAATTTTCGGAGATGATTTTAAACAGCGATTACGTAACTGATTTTGGTGGTCATGCTAGGTTCGTGGATCTTGAATAGTGATCGGGGTATTAAAATGAAAGCAAAAAAAAAACAAAAAAAAATATGAATTAGATGTCAGCTTGATAAAGTAAAAGGTTCGGATGATGTAGACAAATTATAAAATAAATTAAATATTTATCTTGATAAAATAAAAGGTTCAGATGATGCAGATGAAGTTGAAAAACAAGTTAATGATCAGCTTGATAAAATTAAAGGTTCGAATGACGTAGACAAAATTAAATAAAAAGAAATGATTAAATATTAGCTTAATGAAATAAAAGGTTTATATAACGTAAACAAAATTAAAGAACGTAAAATTGGTTGCGTGATAAAAAAAAGTTTCGGATAGCGTAGATGAAATTATAAAACAACTTAAACATTGGCTTGATAAAATAAGGTTTAGATCGGCTTGATCTAATAAATGATTCGGAAAATATAAAAAACGAATTAATAATCGGCTTGATAAAATAAAAAGTTCAGAGAGTGTAAACGAAATTAAAAAACAAATTGATAAATAAAAGGTTTAGATAACATAACATAGATGAAACTACAGAAGAGTTTTTGAAACTGATAAATAATCAGTGAATTACCGTTCACTTTACCAAAACATGCAGCAGACCTACATATATGCAAGTAAGTTCATTAAGACGTAACAAATACCAAAAATACAGAGCAAATCTATTGAAATTCCTGAAGATAGCAAACAGATTAATATGAATAACATGATTATTGGCTGTTTCGCATCCAATAACTATATATTATATCGCAATACATGAAGAAATTGCAAGAAATAATTTCATGATCATAAGTGTTTGTCGGATAAAGGATATTTATTCTGCTAAATAGTATAACTTAGTGAAGATACAACTGAGGTTTGATTGTGCTATGGACTATAGTTGTTAGTCGAAATCTAAAAAAAGGAAGTTATAACAATACACTTGATTATTAATTATTGTTAAATTTCCCTTTTTCACTGGCACTAAATAAGCATTTCCCTATTGGAAAATCATCTCAATACTGCGAAACTTCTTCAAATCGTCAAAATCCATAAGCACGCTTGTCAATTCACTTGAAATTACAATGTCAGTATCTGATACAAAAATTCAAATATTCAGTGCAGAATATTGAGACTTCGAGAAAGGAAGTACGTGAGTATTTTAAGCAGTGGAATTTCTCAAAGAATTAAGACTTTTTGAAGAAATTCTTAAAAACGGACAGCCAACATAACCCTGATGATCAAGAAAGTGCTTCATCTTTCTTGGATAAATGCGGATTGGTACATTTTGTATGAACACCACGTTGAAATATTTGAATCTTGGTTGGAATAATCTTGGCTCAGAAAGAGGAAAAGTATTAGTAGATGCACTTTGAAAGATATTTGAAAGATATCACGCTGACTTTTTTGAATCTTGGTAAAAATAATCTTGAATTAGAAGGAGGAAAAGCATTAGCGGATGTACTTTGCAAGAACTTCACTAAGACTTCTTTGGATCTTAGATGCAATAATATTTAATTATACGAAGGAAAGGCATTGGTAGATGCACTTCGCAGGAACTCCGCGCTGAAAAATTAGAATCATGAATCGAATGGTTTTGGAATAGTTGGAGGGGAAATATTAGCAAATGTACTCTGCAAGCACACCTTCTTGATTTCTTTGAATTTTGAAAATAATAATCTTAGATCAATCAGAATAAAGCAATAGCTGTTGTATATTGTAAGAACACAACCTTAATTTCTTTGAATCTTCGGTTTAATTTTTTGTATCAGAAGAGAAAGCATTAGTGGATGCATTTTACAAGGACTTTTCGCTGAGAGATCTAGATATTCGAAAATAAATTTATTTTTTTCAGGCATTCAAATTAAATAAGGATGGATTTAGTTTTTAAATATGATTAAAATGACAACATAAAATTGAAATAAAATAGTTTATTATATCTAAATGAATATATCGAGACCTCTTTTTGCGTTGAATTATTTTATGAATTATGTATATTAATAAAAATATAATTGCAATAAAAAAAAAAAAAAAAAAAAAAAAAAAAAAAAAAAATATAATTGCAGTATTATGATAATTATTGTAACGATCCAGCGTATATTTAATCCAGAAACTATTATATTATTATTATCTACAGAATTAGATTGGTTATTAGGAGTAGCTAACAATTACCATTTATAACTTAATGGATTGATATATTCAACTTATAAACATTTTTAATACCTTTAAAGTTAATAGCAAATAATGTTATTAACTCTTTAATTTATTATACACAAAAATAACCGAATGCTGTGATCATAGTTTTTGATAATAATAGACGAATGTTTGGTTATAGGGTCAATAGAATTTTCTTCTGTCGGTGTCGACCATTCATAAGGTATTTTTTGAGGTATCCAAGACTGCCAAGTATGGAAAAGCTGATCTCAGTATATTCATTCCACCATATACAATAATATGCTTATCTGAAGCTAATGAAGAAAATTAGCAAGTGAAAAATAAATAAAAGTTTTAAAATGGTATTTTAATTGATTTGATACTTACTTATAACAGCTGTCTCCCTTTAATTTCTTTACCTATCGCATTCTACATATTGACTATTTAGCAATAATTCCTAATAACTAATAACATATTAAATAATAATAAAATTTCATACATTAATTAGCCATGAATCTAACACAATATCATATGCTAAAATATTACTCATCGGCATCTATTGACTATTGTAAGAACTTCCGGAACTTCCAAAAATTCTTCCACCAATATAAAAAATTTTGTCACTTGCTGACAAAACCTGAACAAAACTATGATACCCGGTGAAGATTTAGATGAACCTAATATGCTTTGAAGTAAATTTTGAGAATTTTGAAGTGCTATTTATTCAGCTAAATTGATGCTATCAAATATTGTTAAATTCTTATCATTACCTACATAAATGTAGATTCTACCGGCTTGTTCATCAGAAATCCAGTTAATATCCTCATTATAAAAATAGGTAGGAGTTCCTTGACAACTAATGCTTGTTTCTTATCCTTTTAATGTAGTGTTAAATGCATCTAATAATACATGAAATTGAAACCCTTCTGAATCTTCTGAATTGGATTTGTTAATGAAGAAAATTTTGTCATTTACTTTACCACCTATAATTGGATTGCTTGGGAGGTATTCGATATTTGATTCAGATACATTAATATTAAACCATTTAGATGCATAAACAATTGTATTATTATCTAATGACACATCCACTAAATCTATATAGAAAATGGTACATAACTACTTTCAAGCAAACAATTCACGAAGTTGATATTATTAAAAATTATTGAAGTTATAAAAAATGAAAAGATTAATAAAAGGTCCATTTTTTTCTTTTATGATAATGAGAAAAAAGGATGATAATATAATGCTTCTTGACCAAAAAGTATCACAGATACGCCGATATAATATAAATTTTGGAGATTTATAGTATATTGGGGTTTCAAAAAATAATATAATTTTATTAAATTAAATAAATATCAGGATACGAATATTCATGTATTTAACCTGTGGCAAATCAGCTACAGTCATCCTCCTCTATAATCACGCTGTTTGTTTTATACAGTGCGGGACAGTCAAAGACATCCAATCTATACGGTTAATTTTGATATAAGTAATTCTGATTGGTCAAATAATATATGGGGTCTTTGCCTTGAAAATGACCTTACGGTACATGATACCATAAGGTCATTTTCAAGGCAAAGACCCCATATAGCATTTCTTTCTTTTTTTATATAAAATGCCAATTTTTTAAACTATTATAAACTTCAACTTCTTATAACTTTTTTAAAACAAATAATAAGAATATATCATCGATAGAAATGTAGTTTAGTAAAAATCTATCAATTTGTCAGAGGGTTTTTTGATTTAACTTGTTTTAAAAAAGTTATAATCATTTAAAG